CTTTTTCACTTGGCATTTTGATCCGAAAAGCCAAAATCTGAAATGCCAACGTGAGTAGCATTTGGACATGGCGGTTAGGAAAAATATTTTTTTAAAATCATTTTTGTTGAAAGATATTTTATAATATATGTAAAAAATAAAAATAAAAGTTAAAAAAATTAAATACGAAAAAATAAAATGAAATTAAAAAAAAATTATATTTATAATTCATTAAAAAATTTATATTTATAATTTATTATGAATTAAATGAAATTAAAATTTAATATTCCATATAGTAAAGATTTAATTTTTACATTTAAAAAAATGAAAAATAAATATCATGTCTATACACACACACACACACACACACACACACACACACACACACACATATATATATATATAATTTTTATTTAATTGTTTTAATTTAAAAAAAATATTTATGATATGATATTTTAAAAAAATTGTAAAATAAAATATACCATAAATGGAGGGATGTCCTTTTATGTAATTTTATTTACAAACACCTAACTATAAACAGCTAAAGTTGCCAAACACTTAAAATTTAACTGCTAACAGAAACAGCCGGTCAAAACAGCTAACTCAATCAGTCATTCAAATCAGCTAACATAAACAGCCAACAGCTAACTGCCAACTGCTAGTATCCAAACAAGGCCAAAAGCAAGAAAAGAAAACAAAATTAAAAATATAAAAGGAAATCTATGACTATGATTATTGGTGTACCCTGACATTCCTCTTATTTTATTCCTTTGTCTTATCAGCTTTTGAGGAAGTGCAGCCTGCCACCACTGAGGAAAACACGTGTCTTTATTGTACGTACTACACTAGGGTTCAAAAAAATGGGTACTTCGTACTCCTTTAGTCCTAAAATTAATTTTTCATTTTGACTTTTGTTCTCAAATTTTTAAAACTTTGACCGTAAAAATATATATTGAATTTTCATATAAATTTATTAGCAATAGATTCATTTTGAAACATAGTTTTGTAATATACAACTTTTATAAAATATATTTAGATAAAAATTAAGATATTTATGATCAAAGTGTCTCATTGGAGACCGTGAAAAGTCAAATGAGAAATTAATTTTAGGACGGAAGGAGTACTTTTTATCGAGTATAGTATTGGTGTATTTATATGGTATAGACGTATAGTCCTTTTCCTAAAAAAAGTTTAAATTTTTTTTTATTGAAATTCACAAATAGTACTGAACTTGTAAATATTGTGTTTGTGAACTAAACTTCTTATTTTGTTTAGATTCGATTGGGCATTGCACAATTAGTAAAGATGTGAGTGCCAAGGGGCTAGTGCCAGTCTCGAGATTTAGTGGCCCTGGATAAGACTTAAAATATGAACCTGGGCCTTAATAAATTAAATTATACTCCCCCGTCCCAAAAAGATTGGTACATATTGACTTTTTGGAAAATTAAGGGAAAGATATTTTGATGTTGACTTTCCAAAAATACTCTTGATGTGATGGGTAAAAGTAGGATGTGATTGGTAGATTATTAGAAAAAATGTATGATGTGATAGGTAGGGTATGAAAAAATAAGGGGTAAAAGTGGTTTTTTAATAGAAATGTAACGGACTTTACAGGACGCAGTTTTTTCGAAACGTGTCGCCGGTGTCGGAATTTTTGTGACAGAGGGAGTACAAACTATTGTTTTTTAAACAATAATTAATAGTATAGCAATACACATAAATACATTATAATAATCTATATTCAACCCACTAGAATCACCTCGAAATATCTTTACTGGTAACGGGATGGGGGAACGACGGCAACACGTTCCATGTCACTCCATCTTCCCTTGGCTCTGTCACTTGGTCATCGTGCCCCTGGCATTTCCTTTATTTAAATTTAATTTTTAAAATCATATTTTATAACATTTTAATAATAAAATTTTTTTGTATAGCAATATCAAAATTATAAAAGATAAAGGCGTTAGTTTTAAAACAATAAGAGATAAAGTTTGAGAACATGAGTACTTGTATGTCTTTAAAGTTTAGTTAATTTTACTAAAAATTAATTCGAGTCAATTAAAGCAACATTAAAGCACTTATGTCGCTTGGACCCAATTTAAAGCTTAAGAGCATCTCCAATCATCCTACTTTGGCTTGCTAAAAGTCATAATATAGCAAGTCAACCTATTTTTTCTTCTCCAATGGGTGTGTTTAATTTTAACAAGCTTCCCAAAAAATGACTTTGGCTTGTTACAAATAACAAGCTCTTCAAATTATAGAAAGCTAAGAGTTATAGAATGGATTAGCAAGCCATGGTTGGGGAATGCAACAAAATATCACTTGCTATGTCATTATTCACTTGTTAAAATATAAAAATAGCAAGCCAATATGATATACAGGGTTGGAGATGCTCTAATGGAAACAATAATAGAGTATACTCCATTCGTACCAGTTCTCCTCTTTTATTTCTCNATTCGAGTCAATTAAAGCAACATTAAAGCACTTATGTCGCTTGGACCCAATTTAAAGCTTAAGAGCATCTCCAATCATCCTACTTTGGCTTGCTAAAAGTCATAATATAGCAAGTCAACCTATTTTTTCTTCTCCAATGGGTGTGTTTAATTTTAACAAGCTTCCCAAAAAATGACTTTGGCTTGTTACAAATAACAAGCTCTTCAAATTATAGAAAGCTAAGAGTTATAGAATGGATTAGCAAGCCATGGTTGGGGAATGCAACAAAATATCACTTGCTATGTCATTATTCACTTGTTAAAATATAAAAATAGCAAGCCAATATGATATACAGGGTTGGAGATGCTCTAATGGAAACAATAATAGAGTATACTCCATTCGTACCAGTTCTCCTCTTTTATTTCTCGAAATTAAAAAAAGTAAAATTGTATATTGAAAATTTATCGAGAAAAAAATTAAAATATTTCCTCCATTCAAATTAAATTGTATGTTTACAATTCACAAGATTAAATTTTATTCATTTTTTTTTCTATTTTCGATATTCATTTCATAAAATAATATTCATTTGACCTATTCTTTCATAGAATTTTTTTATGAAATTTTTTAATATATAAACATCATTTTTAAATTTTGTTTCCAAATCTCAAATAAATATTATTGAAAATAATTTTAGTTAAACATCGTAAATCAAAATAAACGATTTAAATTGAATCATAAGAGGGAGTAGTATAAACCACTTCTTTTTCGAAATGGAATAAAAACCTCTTTTTAGAACAAAAAAATATAAAAGAGTAATTTTCTAAATGATACTCAATAATTATGTGTTTACCCAAACTGGACCCCAAGATGAACTAATTACCGAGAAGGTAGTCGCTAATTGAAAATAATACTCAGTTTAGTCCTACCAACTAATGCTCATCTAAATTCCGTCCAAACGACATTAAATTAGTCCATTTTGAATGTAAAAACTACTACTCCGTATTAAATATAAAAAACAATAGCAAGAGTCTTCCCTTCTACTCAAAATTGATTTACGCTGTTTGTGTGAAGTCGAGAGAACATTTTTAATGAGTTTTAAACTAAAAAATGAACTAATTTAGAAAAACATCCTATTACAAAAAAATGACCATTTTCGAAATTAATACCCTCTCAATCTAAAACGTTATTTCCAGTTACTATTCATACGTATGGCGCCAATTCAATCGGTTATCTGGTAATAACCGATTCAAAAGCCTATTCTCAGGATAGGCGCCATTTCTGCGAAGAGGCTTTTGCATCGGTTTTACAACCGATGCAAAAAGTAACTTGAGGATTTGCATCGCTGGCTTTTGCATCGTTCAAAAACGATTTAAAAGGGTTAAAATAACCAACTTAAAAAGTCTTTTTTGTAGTAGTGTACTATCAAACAAAATCACTTTTTTAACCTTTTTCGTTAGTTATTTAATAATATAATAGTCTTTTCACATCTTGTTTTGTAAACTTTTGATTTAATATTTAAATATATAAATATTATTTTTTAATATTATATCTACAATTAAATAAATAGAATTAAAAATAAAATAGGTCAAATCTCATAAATATAAACGGGAACAATGCTTTAGGACAAGAGTATAAGTTTTAAATGCTGTTTTGACGCCATTTTGGCGACCTTTAGTCAAGAAGACTAACCTGAGTATTATTTTCAATTGGCGAATACCATCTCAGTAATTAATTCATTTTGAGGGCTACCTTGATGAATACCATCTTTGCAATTACGGAGTAATTCATCTTGAGGGGCAATTTGAAAAAAACACATAAATATGACGAATACCATCTCAGTTATTTTCAATTTACGAATATCATCTCAATATTATTTTCAATTGACGAATATCATCTCAGGAATAAAATAAATATGAAGTTTTATAAAGACGACATGGTAATAGGGATGAACAATAATGCTGTACTGAATCAGGTTTAGTAGAGTATAATTAGGCAACTAATGACACCTATAGTTCTTGAGGAACATAACTTACACCCTCTAACATTAACAAACCCATTGTTTCCCGCCAAAAGTGGACTACTGACGGTTTGAATCATTATTTCCTACCCTCAGACCACTTACTCTCAGTGACACCATCACACATCATCAGCAAACACTTTTTTTTCCCACCAAAAGTGGACTAGCAGTTGGAAGCATTTTTTCCAACTGCGAGCTCACTCAGTTCCCAATGACATTCTCCAACATAAACAACTTGTGTCCCACCAAAAGTGGTCCGACGATTGAAAAAGTTACTTTCAACGGTCAGAACCACTTGCTTACAAACAATTGTTTCTAGCCAAAAAGTGGACTGACTGTTGGAAGAGTTTGATTACTTCCAACCGTCAGACCACTCGTTTTCATCTGTAACCGGTGGCGGGATTTCGTCCCCCCAAACCTGTCCGGATTCGGCTCCCTGGTTAATAGGATCAACGTCTTTCCAACCTTCGAACCACTGCTGGTTGTTCGGCTCTTCATATCCCCCCCATCCAGCACCAGATTCGTCGGCAATGATTTCCTCCCTTGGTGGCAAAAAGCAGCCCTTGTAGGAGTCATTCTCTACACAATACCACAGAAGCTTGTTCCAGTGTTCATCCTGCAGAGTAGGGAAAAGAAAAAGCTTTGCAGTCTTAAACAAACATCCCCAGCCATAACAAGACAACCTTTTTTAAAATGAAAATTGGGTGGTTGAGACTAATTTAGGGGAGAGAGAAACCATACGAAACACATAACGGTTTTCTTGTCGGGGACGAACATAAAAGGAAAGTATAAACATAATTTAGAGACATTTAGGTAGAAACTTGGGATAACTTTGCATCACTGTAAATACAAATGATAGGTAGTAAAAAGCACTGGGGACCAAATAAATAGTACTGAACAAAAATAATTATTCAGAAGCAATAATGCATAAAGGTTAGCTTAATCAAGTAACTTTCAAAAAGGAAAGAAGTTTAAGTAAATTTTAGGCTCACGTTTTTGCTCAGTCCCTTGAGTTCAATTCATAGAAGGACCATGCTACATTTACACCAAAAATTATACCCCATTTGTACACCGCAGTTATACACAAACATTTCGATGGTTTACACCGACACAAATGTTGGTGCGTTAACAGAAATTTACACGGACACAAAGTGTTGGTGCGTTAACAAAAATTAGTTTTACACCAACACAAAATGTTGGTGCAAAACTGCGGGGTACAAAAGGTTGGGGTACAAGTAGCTTAATCCTTCATAGAATGCCAATAGTAAGAGGCAAAAATGATTACAATCAATTAATGCAACTTCAGCATTGAGAAATTCATAACTGAATAGCTTTATATGAAGTCTGTGTTAAGAAGTTATTTCTGCTCTTTATTTATCCGAACTAAGGGATTTTTATGAAGAGTGGGTGGTTAGAATTTGTTTAGAAGGGAAAAATATTTTGAACCACATATCCTTTTTCCAAAAAGGGAAAAACAAGTAGGGAAGTCATGTGGGACAAATGAAAAAAGAAAAACTAGAAAAATTTTGTCCGACAGAGAGAGTAGATTTCTATTTGGACAACAAACCCAGTAAAATCCCACAAAATATAGGGTCTGGGGAGGGTGTGTATGCAGACCTTACCCATACCATGAAGTAAAGAGGTAGTTTCCAAGAGACTACCGGCTCATATAAAGAAGTATGAACAAAAGAAAGAACAAAAAAAACCACTGAAGCACAAACAAAGAACATTTCTATTTGGACCTTATCTATAGAAAATGCTAATTATGATAGTACCTGGCAAATGATGTGCGGATTCCCAATAACAATAAGCAAAGATTTTGCTCGAGTGATAGCTACATTGAACCTTCTTGGGTTACTCAAGAATCCCAAGTAGTAAAGTTTGTCGTGTTCATTGTGTTTCACGGTTGAACGAACTGTAGATATAATGATGACTTCTCTTTCTTGACCTTGGAATTGCTCCACACTGCCTACCATTACTTCTTTGGCGCTAGAACCTTCGAGAACTCTTCGTATCTTTAGCACTTGTTGCCTGTAAGGTGTTATAACTCCAATATCTTCCCCTCTCAGTCCTTTGTGATCAATCAAGTTTCTAATGACTTCAACAACTTTGCTAGCCTCAATACGGTTGAACCATGATGGGTTGTTTCCTTCCCTCTCGTCATAACCTTGTACTCCGATGAAAAGCAAAGGGAACTCCGGGTTAGGAAGGAGATCATCTAAATTCCAAGATGTTTTCTTGTCATCTTCTTTGCATGCAATCAGTTCTCCATTATAAAACATTTCTGAGGGAAGCTTCAAAATTGCTTCATGGCACCGATAGTTCCTCACTAATCTAGTAATATAATTTGAATTGACATACACACTGCTGGTTTCAAATAGTCTTTCCATGAATGAGGTCCCAAGACCATACTTTTCTGCGTCTTTTGAAAAGACAATAGGACCGAGTTGCAAAGGATCACCAGCAAGAACAAACACAGTTTCATTCCCTAAAAGATTAGAAAGAGGAATCATGGTCTCAGGTTCTGAAGCTTGTGCAGCTTCATCTAAGAAAATGTGAGAGAAGTGGCCTGGTTTGATGCCTTCAGCAAAAAGAAGAAATGCACTAGCATAAGTGGATATTATGATCCTATAGCGAGTCAGAAACCTTAAATGGGGGCACTTAAAAGTCTCATCTTCAACCAAGCAAAATCCGAGGTAAGTAGGACAGACATCATCGACCATACGCGTGACTGCGTTAAGCCTAAAAAGTTCATCTTTCGTGAATTCAACTGCCTGCTCATTGAGTAGTTTCTCTAGTATATTGTCAGCAGCACTATTTGATGGTGCACAAACTAGAATTCGAGCATCTTTTCTCCAAAAGTATAGCTGGAGTATAGCTTCTATAAGCGTCTTTGTTTTCCCTGTACCAGGAGGCCCATGGATAACATATGCAGCACCTCCCCTGCAACCAAGAATCTTCTCAACAGCACTCGACTGCTCGGCATTAAGCTTACATGATATAGGTTTCAATGGAGTGGTATGAATCTGCCGCCTCCTAGATGAAGGGAAGAGAATTTCTTTTGACAATTTATTTGCAGCTTCAACGGCGTGAATCATCCTCCGCATACCAACCCGATTATGTGTGAACTGTACACTATAGAGATCGCCCTCTCTATGGTTTGCATGAAACTCGTAGTCAAATTGCAAAATCACTTCTTCAGCCTCTACTCGATGTATAAAGCCCTGTTTAGAAAATGGATAAATCCAAATAATTGCACGTGAAAACTTTAATGATACAAGTGGTTTTCTGTCCCTCCCTGCCCCATTCATTTTCTCCTCTAAGATGTGAGGATTTGATTTTGAAAGACCTTATATGTTTATTTTTTTATATAAACAACACCAGGATGTCAGACACCATGATTTCCCTGATCCGGTGGGACGCTGGGTGGCAAATAGCTACTACCTGCCACCTTGAAAAAGCAAAAACACGGCACAACAGGCTGATATGTGTAGTAGATTGTATGCTGGATAATACATTGAAGAGTAATGAAGACATCGTATATAGATGGATGATGGGCCTAGTAGTTGTGGTAGGGCTAAACTAAACTTACTAAACCTTCCTATACTTCAACTTTGGAATAAATAGAGACTACAAGAAGCTTCAGTAACAGCGTACCACTTATTGCTACAGTCACTTTGCGGAGATGATAGAAACATTAGACGAGTAAATAGAAACCATCAAACAAGAGCACACAGACAGTTTTGATAAATTCAAGTTGGATATCCTATTTTCCACCATGCTAATTCTAAGAAAAGGCATTTGCTGATGTTATTGATACAAAAGAGCATGAAAAAGAGCCATAAAATAATTGCACAAGTTCAATAATATAAAATTGCCTGCAGCTTAGAACACAATATCATTGATTTATAAACTTGCACAAACATGTAAACTGCATCAATGGTGTACATTTAGGGAATGTTGAAAATGCCAAAGAGACAAAGGCGTTTATAGGCATAAAGAACCTGATAAGTTCTGGTGTCTTTGGTCCCACTTGCATCTTCATATATTGGGTGTACAAAAATGTGGTCTCCATTAACAAGTGAAGGCCTTCTCTCCGCAAGATCTGGGACCTCAAGAGATAAAAATTGCATGCCCCTCTGCCTCATGGTAGCACTCTCCATATCGTATTCTCTCATATTTTCCTGACAAACGCAGTAGAAATTCAATACCAACTGGATTAAGAATATTTCCATGTGCAACTTAAAGTTATAAAATATACCTCTATTTTAATTTCTTCAAATGCCAGTAGCGTTCTAAAATAAATGGAATAGTTATTCATTTTTAACCCTTCTGCGATAACAACAGGCATCATCTTTTTATCGACCAGCTCCCTGAGTTCCTTTGGAATTGGATATTCCGGAACTTTGTGCTTGAAGCTTCGATTTGAACTCCTTGAAGGACGAGAACCCGCCACATAGCCATCAACAGAGAAACCATTACCTTTGTTCTTCCTTTCTCTGTGGTATGGCCTTTTTGAAACTAAAGACTGGCAAACCTTGTCTTCGGCCAAGATAAAAACCAGTCGCTCTATTAGCTCATCACCAACATTAAAGTGTACAGCTGTAGTGTATAGTCCAATTTCCTTGGGTTTACAAGATAGCCAAACAATCAAAGTCTGCCCTGGCCTCAGTGTTCTGTCCTCCACGCTAAAGGATTCCACAAAGTCTTCAATAGACTCCGCGTCAGAACTTGGGATTGGAGGTTTCATCAAAGATAGTGTAAAAGAACCCTCAGGTTTCGAGTCATAAATCTTAATTGACCATAAATCCAATGAGTCATCAGTAATATTTTTTATTGTGATTGGATTTACGATAGTTTCACCTACAAAGCCAGATAGAGGCCTTCCATTTATCCAGGCAAATGGAACGGATATTACAACAACCTCACTCTCTCCATTTGGGTCACAGCTACCAGAAGATTTATAGTTTGCAATGTCAACGAACCCGAGATCACCTTTATCACCAATTACAGAATACTCATCATCTGACTTATTATCAACCGTACCCATGATATCTTGATGATAATACTTAATGACCCCTTGAAGAGGAAATTCAAGGCAAATCTGCAAGCTTCAACTGGATTTTTCCATATAGAGAAGAGTCAATTTCAAGTTATAGGCTAACGGGCTCTTTTGAGTAAAATAACATTAATTTGGGAATGGCATGACAATCTACAGCTAAAAAAGAAAAACATCACAAGTGATCCATAGAGAATAACAATCAAGGCAATTTGCTGGCTTCAACTTGAATTGCCAACAGAAAAAAAAGGAAGTTTAAAGTCACGGGCTAAACCGCTTCTAGAAAACATTAGCTTCAGTCATGGGCTAAACATCAAGCTCTTTAGAGAACACTGTTTCATGGTAACTAAATATCAATCGATAAAAACCAAAAACAAAGTAAAATAAAACTACTGCCCTAATTGTAAGAAAACTACCAAGTTAGCAAAGAACACAACAAGAAACGAAATGCAAAGGGAGTCAAGTATAAGTGATAACACGATAGCCAGTGGCGGAGCTAGTTAAGCTCTGCTCACCTTCCATGAGTTCCATCACAAAAATAACTAATAGTGTTGTAGAGTAAGACTTAATTAAATATAAATTGAGTTCATTTAATAGTTAAATACTTCCTCCGTCCACAAATAAACTTCTCGTTCATTATTCACAGGGTCAAACTTTATTCACTTTGTTGGCCTATTTTCGTCACTCATTTGATAAAATAATATAGTCATGTCACCTCTAGTTTTGTAGATCTTTTGATATAATTTTTTAATAAGTAATTTTTATTTTTAAAATTTACACCATTTTTCATATAAAATGATTTGAAAATAACTTTAGTCAAACATCGTAACGCGCAATAGGAAGTTTATTTGTGGACGGAGGGAGTATAAAACGTTTGGGTGTTGCTGTATCCACTCTCGTTTTGGCTATATCCACTCCATTAATGTTAAATCGACAATTTTAACCTCAAAAATACAAAAGAATGAGTGTTGATGCAAGGCCACTTTTAAGGGCAATATAGTCCATTTAATATTAAATGAGTGAATATAGCTAAAATGGGGGAGGATATATTAACACCCATGACCCATATAAAAAAATCAATCAATAAGTCCGATCATTGATTATTTAAAATTTATTCAAATAATAAGGTCTACAACTATATATTCCAAGTTCAATAACCATGTCCAAACAAAAGAGTACCATTAACAGGCTTGAATATTTAATTAAGAGATAGCAAAGAAAATACAAATGGCTAAAACATGAATTCCATCTTTTTTGTTCTTCATATTCTTGTTCACTGATGTACTGATATCTGAATAGCCAACATTAGCTTCTTTTATTCACCTACTCTATCCAAAGTTCACAGTAACAAGTTCACCTCCTTAAATATTTGACCCTTACCACTTTTAAATACAATCAACATCATCTACTTCAGGCACCTTTGGTCCAAAAACTTCTAGATCTGCCTCAAGGTATTCGAACATATCTACGAATAAATCCACTGGTTTACTAAATCATATGAATGAGATGAGTGACTAATGAAGCATAGTGGAAACTTTTCATTCATAGCGGAAAACTGGCCAAAAAAATATTAGAAAAGAGCAAACAGATACTAGGACAAAGAAATGGATGTTAGTCAACCTATAACAACCTGTTTGTTTCCTTTCTTTTCCCCTATTTTGTTCTTATTGGTTTAACACATTGAACTGGATAACTATTTTGGGCTTTTGTGTGTTTAGGTGCAAGCACATGGAAGTTAACCAAGTCTTGTGTCTGCTAAGGAGAAGCCATTACTACAACTAGTGGACGGTTACTCGGTAAGAGGGCGGATCATGAACAGATCATTATCTTATTACCCATGCAGGATGAAGACTAGCAGTGTGAAAGGAATCATCTAGAAGAAGAAAATAGACACTTCAAAGATTGTTCCTTTTACACTGCCATTTTTGTAACAGTTTATCATAAGAACTTTGTACGTACTATACGATAGTAAATAAAAAACAAGCAACTCTTTAAAGAAACATGCCTCTTTGGTACTTGTTTTATCACAGCCATTGCAATGGCAGGATAGATAAGCTTTTTTTGGTATGTTCAGTCTGACTCTCAAGCAAAGTAGAAATAAAGACAGGGCGGGGTCCTTGACTGTCTAACATGTAAACAACATTCAAAATGAAGCCTTAAACAGTCGGAGGAGATACTGAATAGGACTGATTGAGCTTTAGCTGACATATAAAGAAAAACATGATTATATACATGTCTACATAGCCACACACAAACACAAAGGCCATAAATAAGTCTTAAAAAACTCAATCATAACATGGCACAAAAGAAAAGGTAAAACACAAGCTCCGCATGAGTAGGACCAAAAAGGGCCATTTTATCAACAGAAATGCACAAAAATAATATGGAGTAACAACTAAATACAAATAGAAAATCAAAGAGATAAAATGTAGCATAAATGGAAGCATAGTTTCATGAAATTGTTTAGCAGCAAAGAAACATACTACATCCATACCAAAAAACAATACCCATTTTCCCTATTTGAACGTTCTAAAAAACACTTTCACACTTAATTTATTTCCTTTTCTTATCAATGAACATACGGATTGAACGATTTCTCTTTCAAATAACAAATTCTCTTCATCCACTTTTACTCAACAAGGTGAAAACATGTGATTTTTTTTGGGGGGGGGGGGGGGG